CAGTATGATGTTAAACCGGTAAGAGAACCTTCAGTTCACTATCCCACAACACAAGCTTTAAACCCCTCAAGTTCTCAATTCATTCCACTGCATGTGCCAATTACAAGTCAAGCTACTCTTCCCCAAAGTGTGCAACTGCTACCTCAAGCTCCACCAACCTCAGTGTCTATGCCTCAAGTTCAAAATGGCTCTGAGTTTGTCAATATGCTAGCAGAAGCTATTGGTGCTAATTGTCTCCCAACACCAGAGCCTGCAGTATTTACTGGAGATCCTCTGAAAAGTAAAGATTGGAAATTATCCTTCGATACATTGATAGACAGAAAAAACATCCCAAAGAATGAAAAACTGTACTACTTAAGAAAGTACCAATGAGGCGCTGCAAAGAAAGCTGTTGATGGTTTCTTCTCGCTGGGCACTGAAGAAGCTTATGACTCAGCCTGGAAGCTACTAGAAAAACGCTTCGGAGATCCATTTGTTATCGGAAAGTCCTTCAGAGACAAGCTCCATGGATGGCCAAAGCTAAACACTAAAGACGGTTGTGAACTAAGAGAATTCGCAGACCTCCTCAGAAGTTGCGAAGCGGCAATGCCACACATACTCACGGTGTGAGAATTAGAAGTAACTGATCCAGAGCTTTGCAAGGTGTACATTCACACAGTCAAGACAAAGGAAGTGAATTCAATAGCAAACTGCTTCACAAAATTTGCTGACTGGTCCAGAGGTGCCAGGCTCAAGAGATATGTCAGAGAATTCAAAGGACTTCAACAAAGAACAAATGAAGCAACTTACCTTGAAGAAAGAAGAGAAGCAGACATCTTCATCATCAAGTTAGGACAAGAAGACAGCTTTGCTGAAGACATAAAGAAAATCAAGCAACAGAAAGGAGATGCACTGAAAAGGCACAACAAGTTACAACAGTTGAATGCTTTCCTGGACGAGAACAATGTACTAAGGGTGGGAGGATGACTCTCTCATTCAGCCTTACACCATGATGTGGAACATCCAGCAATTCTACCAAAGAAATCTCGTGTCAAACATCATCATGAACGAATAAAGCATCAAGGAAGAGGCATGACCATGAATGAGCTACGTGCAAATGCGATATGGATTATTGGATGTGGTCTCCTCACACATTTACAAGTGTGTAAAATGTAGGAGATACAGAAGAACCACAGAGGTTCAGCACTGAACTGAAACATTGCCCCCCTTTACCTACTGTGGTATTGACTGTTTCGGACCATTCATTGTGAAGGAAGGAAGAAGAGAATTAAAACGTTATGGACTTTTGTTTACATGTTTGTGCTCAAGAGCAGTACACATCGAAACACTGGATGACCTGACTACAGACGCCTTCATAAATGCACTAAGAACATTTGTAGCTATCAGAGGACCTGTCCGCCAACTGAGATGCGATCAGGGAACAAATTTCATGGGTGTTTTCTGAGTTACTTAAAGGATTGGATCAAGAACATCAAAGAGCAATTGGATGTGAATTCCTCATGAATGTCCCATCAGCGAGCCAAATGGGAGGAGTTTGGGAACGGCAAATTCGAACGATCAGAAGCATTCTGACAGTCATGCTCGACAAGTCTGCAAGCACGCTGGACACCACAGCGTTGAGGACATTTCTTGGCAAATGAACATCTTCATGATCCAACTTGTCCAGAACCTCTCACTCCCAATCACATCTTAACCATGAAATCATCAGTTATTCTGCCTCCTCCTGGACAGTTCTGCAGGGAAGACCTGTACCTCTGCAAAAGATGGTAAAGAGTGCAGTTTTCAGCCAATGAATTCTGGCAAAGATGGAAGCGAGAATACCTGCTTAACCTACAACAGCGACAGAAATGGCAAAGAACATCATGGAACTCACAAGTAGGAGACATCGTGATTCTACAAGATGATAACTCACCCAGGAACGAATGGAAACTCGCCAAGGTTGTAGAAGTTTACCCAAGCTCAGACAGCTTAGTGAGAAAGCTGAAGTTACATGTCAGTGACTCCACACATGACAAAGGAAAAACACACACTAGATCAGTTCACCTTGAAAGACCCATTCACAAGGTAGTCACCTTACTTGAAGCTAGCTAAGCTACATACATGTGGTCACATTTCATTGATATGAAACATGTTTATTTCCCCTTGTTATTTAGTTTGAAGAAAATCCCACATTCAAGGTAAATGAGTGATTTTGGTGGGAGTGTAAGTGCTGTTACATAAAACTTTAAGTTCATGAGTCATAAATGATTTCATATTGTCATAATTTCATGTATTCGATAAATAAATAAATAATAATTCATGGATGTTAAGCTAAAAGGTTAAAAACACTGTTAAAATCTTTATGTTTCTATGTGGAACTAAAGTTCCTTGTTTTGGTTCCGCTACGATGGAATTAAGGGAAGGACATGTACGGTGAGCACACGTTACCTCCGAGGGCCAACCTCCGGTCTCGAAAAATGAAGCCAATGAGTAAGTACAAAAAACTGCAGTTTTACTAGTGTCTGATCGAAAAGAACACCAAGATTCGGTCTCTGCGATTGATTACACGATCATCGAGAGACAAAGTAATAGGATCAAAAAGATGACCCAGTTTCGCTGGTCCGATAAACATCATTTCTGTCTTAGCAGAATTAAGTAACAAGAAATGTTTTTCATAACCAACTCTTAACAGCTGCAAGACAGGCCTCATAGGTAAAGTGAGAACAGCAATGGACCCAGTACAGACCCCTGTGGAACCCTGTGCCTAACAGCACAGGGCTCAGAGAGTATGTTGTTGTATAAAACACATTGAGATCTTTCTGACAGGTAGGATCTTAACCACTCCAGAACTTGTCCTGAGATGTCAAAATAGTTCTCAAGCCTATCCAGTAGAATACAGTGGTCCACCTTACCGAAAGCAGCGCTAAGACCCAATAACAATAAAACACTGGTTGAGTCTGAATCTAAATATAGTAGCAAATCATTCACCACTTTTGTAAGTGCTGTTTCTGTCGCTTCCCTAAGCTATTGAGTTGAGCATTAATGCACATTTTAGTCTTGTCATTTCAAATCTGAAATGTATACTCATAAGTAGACATAAAGGAGTGCATTTATATAGAAATATTTATTTAATCTGAAAAATCACATTCAAAAAGCCTGTTTTTATACGATCGACACACTGTACGGGGGTCGTTTGATTTGATGAAGGATAAGAGTTATTCACAATAAGGCGTGTAGCTGACCAGCTTGACAGGCGGGTGCGGTGTAACGGTTTGTCAAAAGGCTTAAAACCTACCTCAGCCTCAGCTCTCAGCCTGTGGGTGACATCACTCAGGCCATCCGGGGGAGACCTCCCTCGCAGCGAGTTGTTGAAGAGAAGCAACTGAAGTCCACCCCAGAAGAACCAACAAATACAGATGTTGTTGAGGCTCAGGTTTCTTCCTCTGTCTCTGCAGCTCTCTGGGCACCTCGACGGACCAGTCACCAATAATGCACACTGTGTCTATAGGAGAAATACAAAAGTGTACAAGACAAGTGACAAGACAAAATGTACAGTTAACTACATGTGACAGCTCAGGGTGTTTTTTTGTTATTAGCCACATCTGCAGGAATAATATTGAACAAGGTAGCTGCAACTCCTAATAATAGATGCCAGTCTTAAACACTATTTTTTCTAATACTTTTGGTGTGAAGCTGACACTGTCCACAGACTCCATGACTTCACGGGGTTCTATAGAAAACGAATATCTTATAATAAATACTAAATAATTATGTTGTTCACCGTCATCGCTGTTGACATCAGTAAATATAAGACACAGACATTCCTCTTTTTGTCAGAACAGTAACATGAACTGTATACTTTGTAATATTGATTTCTTCTGGATGTCTAATATTTATTTACAGTCTATGGATAAAACTTTGTTAATGTATTTCTCTGCTAACAACGACAGAGTCTAACTGCTCTGACAAATAACTAATAACCAATAATAATAGTTTTAAGACTTTAATAAAATATTTGGATTGAATATAATTCGTTTTAACTGTGTTGTAGAAAAGTTAAATGTTAACTTCCTGTTTCTAGAGTTTTCTCAGGACGAGCAGGAATAGGGGATGATAGCAGTCTAGCTGTTAGCTATGCTGTGAAGTGGACTGCTAACGTCGAGCTGAATGGGCGGAGTTAAGTCCCGCCTTACTGCTGTTGCTAGGTTGATCCGAAGTTAGGTTGAGACTGCAAATCCAATATGGATGCGGCCCTCGATTGGACTCATTTGCTGCCTATGTAACAGACGGGTCTGGGTTCGTCCAGTAATATTTACAGTCTATGGTTACCTCCCGCGAATTGATGTAAACATGCATGAAGACTGTTACCACTGACGTCTGAAGTTTAAGCAGACTGGGAAAGACACTTTACAAGGACTTTAAAGAGCCCATATTTATGCCCTTTTGGGGTTTTTACGTTCACAATAGCTAAAGTCAGAAAAAAGTGTCTGTTTTCATGTACTGCTCCTCCTTGCTCCCTCTACGCTCTGAGTCCGTCAGCTACGCTCTGTTGAGCCCACACTGTTAGACCCCACGTGGGCCAAGTCTGCTCTGATTGGTCTGCCGATCTGCTCTGTCATTGTTGGTCAGTTGCTCAACAGGAGTCTCGGAAATTTCAACATGAGCTGCTGGACCTGCCACAACGAGCCAATGGACTTAGATCAATGATCTCACACTGACAATGACGTCGGACTGACAAATCTTTATCAAGGGGGGCTAGAACCGAGCGTTACATGCGGCTAATGCTACAGCTAACAGGAGGACGCGTTTCCGCGGACTTTGAATTTTTGCACATAGATGTGCCTAAACATGCACAGGACACATGGAAAACACACTAAAGAGCATATAAAACCAGAAAAAACAGATATGTCTGTTGTTGTGAAGAGAGCTACACCCTCGTGCAGGTGGAGTCTCGTGCAGGTGGAGTCTCTTTTCGCTGCCCCTCCTCTTCTCCGCCCATCAAACAGAGAGGGCGTTAAGACCCTGCAGAGCTCCAACAGTGAAACATCTGTCGCCTCGCTCTCCAGTATGAATTGCGCCTGGGCTCCGGACTGAAGACACACAGGCATCAGGCAGGCAGGCAGGTTGGTACGGTGCGGCACGGAGCGAAGCGGATACGGGATGCGAACAGATGACGGCGGATCATGAGAGAAAGTGGCGAGGGACGCACTGAGCCGCAGAGATAAGACAGCGCGCCACAAAAATGAAGGCACTTATGGTAAAGGTCTCTGTCATGTTGTATTACAGTATTACTAATCCAGCATTGTTCTGTGAAGTGTTCTTAAACCGTCATGCTGCTGTGTGTAGTCTGTCGGATCAAAAGATTATGGGATGCGAACAATGGACATCCAGCTGTGCGCTCTGTTTACCAGTAAGCTCCGGCTCTTTCTTATAATAAGAATAAGAATAATAAACTCCACAGCATGCAGCCCAGCGCGCTGGCTTTCTTTACGGCGTTCAATGCAGAGCTGTAACCTCAATTTAAAAAAGTGCATGAAATGTTATTTCTTTGGAAGAAACTTGTTGTAATGCATGTTATGGGGAAAATAGATCCGCACATCCAACGACCCTAATGCGAAGACGTGCCAAGACACGAATCAAAAGTGTCATGAGATGTGTTTCTTCTTCTGTTGATTAGTGTGTTTTGAAACGATGGCGACTCAAAGTGACTCAAAGAAGGTCAGGATGTTCATAAGAACCTTTACTTTAAAGTTTAAGTAACACAATACTAACTTTCTATTACAGCAGATGTGCTCCTGAGCTTGCATGCAAACTAAGTAAAGATGATCATTTGCAGCCTGACTTATTACGGCCTGGAGCGGCTGTAAATGAACCTGTCGTTGTACATCATAAACTGAGTTCAGTGTGTGTGTGTCTTTGTGTCAGCGTCATGGGGTCGCCTTGCTGCTCGGGCTGCTCCTGTTCGCCAGCTTGTTCCTCGTGTACAACAACAGCTCCACCAGCGGAGCTCCATCCAGGGACTCTAACGACACGCACATCCGACAGCATGAACATCTGCGGTTTCCCACTGAAGCTCCCGCCAGGGTGGCCAAGCCTCACCCCCCGGCCCTCCAGGGATACATCGGCATCATCGACCATAAGGTAAACAGATGCGGCCATAAGGCAGGCACGAGAGGGATGAATGGCTGCACGTGTGTGGTTTTAAAAGTAAAGCCATCTTTACTTTCCTAGAAACTTTGGCTGCAACTGATGATTATTTTATCATCAAGCAACCCTTAGTGATTAATGGTGATCTTATAATGTGAAAAAATGTGTGAAAGATTATCATCATCCTTTCCTTGAGTCATGACATCCTGAGAATGGCTTCTCTGAATCATAATAAATAATAATAAAAAACATTTAAAAATGTCAAAAAGCTGCAGAAACTTAGATTTAGGAGGCTAAAGCCAGCCTGGCACTTCTCTTAAACACTAAAATATTCAGGACACATTTGTGAAATGATTTCCCTCAAATCCAACCAATTAATCAATAAAGTATGGCAACTTTATTACAAACTAAGGTGGTCAAATATCTTATTCCACTTTTTGACACCACCTCTTTTTAAAAGATACCTCTGTTATTTCTGTTGATAAGTACTGAAGCGTTAAAATATATGTATCTTCAGTCGTATTTTTAAACTTTCAGGTGGGTTAAACTGGATTATGAGACATGAATAAAATAGAATATTTCATATCTGATCCAGGCTCTATTTTTTATAGTAAACTGAAGACATTGTCGAAATACATTGGATGTGTTTCTTTAACAAAATGTTCCCAATGTTTTTGTGTAATTATGACAGTTTTCAGGAGTTTGCTTTCCATTTTTTTAGTCATTAGAATAAAGAAATAAACCAAAAAATGGGGCCGGAGACTTCTAATTTAAATTCTGTGCAATCGAAACAGATATCGATATTGTAAGATTTTTTTCATTTCAAAGTTTAAATTCTGCTACTTTGACACTTTTCTACTTCTTCTTTTTCTCCCCCTGACACACAAACATGCAAGCACAGCTCCCTCCTGTCTAATGACCTGCAGTCATCTCAGCACAGCTCTGTGAAGCAGAGAGCCTCCCCCCTGTCATTTATCACAATTTTCTCCAGCACCGTGTTGCGCCATACTCAATACCCACCTGTCGTTACTAATAACAGCTTAGGCTACAAATGAAATCCTTGGCTGCATTCTTTGCCTCTAATTGATAAGCCCAGGAGTCCTACAGCTAGGTGAACCCTGACGTCACAGCAGGGGCGTATTGACTTCCATCTAGTTACCAGCCGGGAGAAAACAATCAATGTGAGTACTGGCGAGTGGAAGCTATGCAAGTAAAGAAGACCTAATCACTGTGTAAAGGTTTTTTTAAAGGCAACAATGCAGGACGGTGTGCTTCTCTGCAAACAATCTGGTTGATGTACTGCTGGATGGTTTGTGTAGTGTTCTGCACCACTGAGCTATTGATAGATGCAACGGTTCTCCAACCCATGGATTTAATGTGTTTAATAATTCAAAGTTTTAGTCGAACTTATAGATCATGCACAAAAAGGCCCCTAAGTGCAGACATGAAACATTAAAATCTCCCCAGCCCCTCCTACATCATCGACAGACTCTCAGCCTGAAGAAGACGAGTAACTCATCTGTTTCTATCTTCTTCTTGCAGCTTTGTGATTTAAAAAAAAAATCAATTTGTTTCTTTTATTGTGGATTTGTGTCTCTTTGTAGACAACTTTGTGTATCTTTGTAGAGTGTTCGGTTTTTGGAATTAAGTAGTTATTTTTTGTTCTGGATAGAGATGCACCGATACCACTTTTTTGCAAACCAAGTACAAGTACAAGTACTTACATTTGGGTACTCATCGATACCGAGTACTGTTACGAGTACTTAATGCCCTGATCCGCGTTGGTTTCTTTGGTCAAAAGTCTCTGAAGCACGGTCACAGCAGGAATTACATCTGATGTTAAAGCATCGGACAAGTTCACTTTTCGGGTTAACTCCTCAACGGGCTGTTTGAGCTGCAGCTGAATGTCTTCCAGGCGGGAGTAGGCTAATGCCGAATGCTTAAAATGTCCAACAATTTTACGTCCGACTGACACCTCGTCAGCTACCCTCCTCTGAGCCCAAAGTCCTTCGTTAACAGCTAGCTGTAGCGTGTGAGCCACGCACGGAAGGCTGGGGAGTGCAAAGTTTGCAGTCTGCTCTTCTTTTGTCATCATCGTTTACGCTGAAATATCTCCACACCGCTGACATCTCACTTCTCTCCGCCTACCCGCTCAACTGAAAAGAGGAGTGGTATCTGTGCCGTTGTATCCGCGTAGTTTTACGAGTACGAGTATGAGTACTTAAAGGCGGCATCAGACCGATTCCTTATACTGGTATCGGTATCAGGTCATCCCTAGTTCTGGATTTGAGTCTCTTACGGTGTTTTCACATTAGGCACGATTGCTCCCCCTCCCGTCTCCCTCCCTGGTCTGCGTTCACATTTGTAACATTGTTCGGTCCCTGAGTACACCTGAGTATGTACACAGTCCGATACAGCAGGGGGCAGCATGCACATAATTGGTTTGCAAATCCACAAAAAACAAGAACGATGCCACCATGGCAACCACCGCGGCCTGAGTCCACGCTGCTTACTGTGGATGTTTGTGTTGTTCTGAGACGCGAACAACGATCCTCTTCCTACCTCCACATCTATCGTGCAGCTCAGAGGATGAAATGGACCTGTGCTGTGCGATATGATCGTTTTTTTATATATAACGTTCCACTTCCTTGTTTGAGCACAGATGCGTCATCTTCCACTGACCGTACTCGAGTACACATGAATCATGCCTGCGACCACCTCTTCAAGAGTACTAGAGCACTGTGCCATAGTGCGGTACGTTTGTGTTCACACAATCTCTGTAGTCTTTTTGTGTCACTTTGTACACTCTATGTTTCTTTCTTTTTGTCAATTGTTTCCCTCTGTAGTTGATGTATGTCTCTCTTTAGCCAGTTAATACCTTTGTAGTTAGAAATACAAAAAAACACCATGAAGATTTATGTCATTTGATCTTTATACTGAGTCTCCATATCATCTTCCTATATACATTTTTGTCTTTCTCATGCAGTTTTGTGGGTTTTTGCGACTTGAAGTACTTAATAGCACCTTTTAGTTCTCGCATTTCTTCAATGCAGTTATTAAGTTTCTTTTTGCCGTTCATTTGCCTCTACTTGTTGTGTCTTTGTTCCTTTTTTTCTGTTTGTTTTGTCCCATTTGATTGACTTCCTGACAAAACAGATTAACAGTTGGTTCGATCAGAGGCTCTGCTCAGGGGTCTTTGGGGTCACACGGTACCCCTGGGCCTGTGTCCAGTGGGCCCGCTCAGTAATCCATCTAATGCTGAATTAAACCCAACCTAAGTGGACGGATTAATCAGTCCTGGAATCTCTCTCTTTTTCTTTTTTTTTAAGAAAGTTTCTGTTGGCTGCTGAAAACAGGCTTTAAATCATCAGATTATGTCACAGCAAGTTGATTTGCATATGAGTAATTGGACTGCCTCCTCATCGCTCTTGTTGCTGTGTGGATGAGACAAAATAAGCAGCAGAACCATGCATCAGCTGGATGGATGTGAGAGTCAACACATTGTTCCTGAGCAGTAGAAAAAGTGGCTTGGTTGGTTGAATGAACTTTTGCTAAATTAAACACCAGGGGCTCTGAAGAGTCACTTTATCTTGTGACGAAGTAAAGCAGGTTGGCAACTAAAGGTGGAGCAATTATTCGTTACAATAAATCTCTCTGCTTGGTGCAAAAACAAACAGGTGTGGGAAAACTCTACTGTTGGCTTCTAAAGAGTTCCTCTTTAAATTGCTGCTTCTTTGTTCACTTTAAGTTTGAGTTCCTCTTAATATGAAGGGGAAATTACAGCTCCCTTTATACTGGACATACTGTACTCAGCTGGTGCATGTAGTCATGGTGACTTGAGCAGAAGAAAAACAGGAAAGCACTGTTACTATTGATACTTTTCTCCTTCAATTTTCTGTCTAACTAAATTCAGCATTTGCCGAACTAGCATAGTGACAACACTCAAACCCAAGCAGCTCCCTCGTGTGTTGAAAAATAAAGCCAATGTGGAAGTGCAAAATCCTGAAGTTCATCAAGTGTCTGCTTGAGGATTCCTACAGAAGCACCAGAAGACCGTTTTCATACGGCAGATTGAACATGTTTGCAGCCTGGTAAAAAAAAACTGTTATGGGCTAATAAGCTCAAGTCTCTATAGGCACACATGTACAGGGGTTTCATTTTTGATAACCCCTCCGTTTTTCAATTACAGTAGGTGCGTATAACTGACCTGACTGACAGGGCGGGTAGGATGTAGCGGTTTGTAAGGAGGCTTAAGAACTACATCAACTCCAGCTCTGAGCCTTTTGTTACAGCTTATCTGAAAGTTAGGTTGAGACAGCTTTTCCGCCATCGGTGGGCTCCCAAAGCCCCCTGCAGTAACAGATGGATGACATCGCTCAGGCTTCGTCCATTCATATTTACAGCCTTTGCTCAAACTGTATAACGCAGGAAAATGATTGTTTCAGACTGTCAAACACATCACTTCTATAAACACAATATTCCCTCGTTGAAACAAAATGAGCAGTCAAACTCTGAATGGAGCTTTTTCTTCCCTACTATATCTGAAGATTAGAATATTACACATGTTGTGATTCTATGTTGACCTACAGTACTGACTGCTCTGTCATTTTCTCTCTCCATATCTCAACTTGGAGTTGTAGACCTTGAGACCTTGTGAAGCTCTTTTTAAATAAAGATTCTACAGGTAGAGAGATAACAGGACAAACAACCAAAAAACCATAAATGGCATAAAGGCATGTAATAAAATGGCAACCAGACCAGGCCTACTGCTTGTTAGCTTTGGACTCGGTGAAGATGATTGGCTCAGTGATTGTGCGGCTACATGGACTGTCTCACACTCGATAAACCACAGTGCATGCAGTAAGTGTTGATCAAAATATATGAACAAGCCTCCTCATGCAAAAAAACAAATGCAGTTCATCTGCGATGTCTGCAAGCTTTTAAAAAAAAACATATTTAAAGAAGTAAAAGTAAGTCCTTTTTAATCCTAGGTA